AATGAAACTTTATTGTTCTTCGTTATAACTACTCCTTTTGTCTCATACCCCTGTCTACTGTCTCTATTATGCATTTCTCCTACTTTCTTCTCTTGCTTTGTGTGCTCATGGAGTGTGGCAACTCGAACTGCCGCACATCAGTGCAAAGTTCTATGTTGAAAACAGACAGACTACTGGCTTGATTGCTCCAACATTTCGCTGAAGCTGCTGTTGATTCTGAGTAGGATAAGTTAAAGTTCAAATACTTATTTGAATGTGACAGATTTCTATAGATGCTCGTATCTAAACCGTTTATCTCAATTTCGTGTTTTTACAATATAGCACATCTAATTCACTCTGCTCAATTCCTGACTCGATTCTATTCACTAATCAGTGGGGAAAATTAGAGTTGTGTTCAGACAAAAACGCAATAAATGTGTCATTCTCATTTCCCCTCCACAACTTAGGAATGGACGTTCTAAAAGACTCATATTTACTACTACTGTGGATATTGGTGGTCATATCGTCACCTCATGTGCTTGTTTCCTATTTACAGCTGCAGAAGTCAAACAATTGCAAACTCAACATTATTTCTCTACAGGAGATGCTAATTCCGTGTTAGAGTTGAGGATTAGCGTTTCAAGCATCCCTAGCTGCTTCCATTGATACATTAATTGTTGTTCAGAATGTCCCAGTTCTTCAGACATTACGGAATATCATTGACATGTCTCCCCAGCTATTTACAGACTGTCTTCCTGAAACCGTGCCGTTTGGTGCTTGCGAATTAGATTAATTGAAACAACATTCGTTCCTTTGTCATCTGTAACTGCGCCTGTAGTTACAAGGCCTAAATATTCTTTGGTAAGTGTCTTATGGTATTATGTGAAAAAGACTTAGACTACTGTATTTGCTACCTATCGGGGTTTACAATGGGGAGTCAAAAATTACAAAAAATCAGTATTTCAGTGCGACATACGTCTAAGACTATAACTGCTACTTCTAATTTGTCTAGTAAGTTTTGCATGGCAATGGAGAACTCTTCTTAAATTTCTGCACCTTCGATGACTTGGTGACTGAAGGTGGCGTGTACAAGCGCAAAACGACATAGATCTCACCTAACGGACACACTGAAAATCAGATAGACTTCATCTCAATCTTAAGAAAATGGAGTCTCAGTCTGCTGAACACAAAGTCGGTAAGAGAACAGATGTGGGCTCAGACCATCATTTAGCGCATGGAACCCTCAGGGTCAAGTTGAAAGCCTTAAAAACAACCAGAGATAGACCACAATTCATATTTAACACTCAGAGACTGAAGGATGAAATTACAAAGGCACATTCACTGAAACTATCAGAACAAAGTCAGGGACACTACGTAGCATCACTGAGGAAACCTGTATGGAAGAACATTGCAACTCTGAAAGTAATGTTCAAGGAAAAATGTACAGCCGTTTTAGGGAGAAAGAAGAAACTAAACAAGGGATGTCTCTCTACGGACACATGGAAACCAATACATGTGGAAGGGACAATGAAACAAGATGAATCAATGCAAGGATAGACAACAGAAGGAGAAGCTGAGTTCAATGTACAACTCAGTGAACAAATGAAATGAAGTGCAAAGAAAGACAATTCTATAACACACTGAAAACTGAAGCAGGATGTACCACAGGTAAAACAGACCTCAATACACCACCAGATAACCAGGTCGTTACTGGGGGAGAGATCTATACCGACAAAACCAATGAAAGATAGTGAAGGAAATCTGATTATCAAAGAGAAGCAAAGAAAACAACGTTATTATTACTTCAGAGGACTTCCGAACCGACTACCACCAGGAACTCGTTCAGAAATACTTTTAATAGCCTCAAGACTGTCAGTGCACAACCTCCCCTGACGAAAGCAGAATTTTTGAACGCCATAAAGATTGTGAGAGCGGGAAGAGCAGCTACACTAGACGGAATTTCCTCGGAAGCACCGATTGTGAATCCAGAGACCTCAGTGGATATACTCACTCTTCTATCACAGAAAGTTTGGAAGGAAAGGAAGGTAATTGCTGGTTGGAAGAAAGTTGATCTTGCCGAACTACCAAAGATTGGTGGTTTAAGCCTTCGCAAAAACTAGCTGAAAATTATGCTTTTGTTCACACCAAGCAAAATATTGAGTCGCGTCGTTCTGAAGAGAATTATAGTTGCACTGGATAGGGAACTTCAACCTGAACAAGCTGGAATCAGGAAAAGCAAATCGTGTGCGGATCAAATATCAACCTACGCATCATCATCAAGCAGAGCAAAGAATGGAAGTCAAATCCCTACTTCAACTCCACTGACTTTGGAAAAGCCTTCGACAGCGTTGACCGCGAAGTAATTCGGAAACTGCTTCAACAATATAGGGTGACCCAAATATTTATCCGCCTCCTTTAACAGCTGTATGATTATGCTATGTCAACCGATTTTTACAACGTGAAGATCAGCGAAACCTTCGAAGTGAAGACAGGAGTAAGATGAAGCTGACTGTTATCATCAATGGTATCCCTAAATATGGTGGACTGAATTTTGCGGGACGTCGTAAGTAGGTGACGGAAATATGTTGGACCGATGACAGGAGTGTAGAAGATCTGTACTTCGTGGATGATTTATTTCTTATGTCAAAGAAATTCGAAGACCTACGGGCAAAAACCAGCAAGTTGGCCAAAGAGGCAGGCGTCAAAGACAAGACTTCAAGTGAACGTAAAGAAGACGGAGTTGATGAAGATAACCAACTAACAACAACAAGTACGAACCACTATCAAAAGAAAAAGTCTGATAGAGGTCACTTCCGCCACTTATTGAGGCAGCGTCGTTTCAACCACAGGCTTCACGGATGAGGATTCCAAAACCAGAATCGGAAAGGCAAGCCATACATTCATCACTTTGAAATCGGTTTGGAAATCTGCTACATTTAGCATAGGGAACAAGATTCTGATTTTCAACACAAATGTGAAGTTATTTCTTCCATATGGGTCACGAAAAGGATTTCCAACAGGTTGCAGACTCTTATTAACAGCTGACTTCAATCCAGTAAGAATTATCCACAAGAAACTCTGGGAACGAACCGACTATGAATCTGTTGCTTGAAGAATATTTCGAAGAGAATGGAGATGGATCGCGTTTACGCTGAGGAGGTCGTTGGGTCACATTGTAACGACAGAAGACAAGGGCCAGCCAACAGATCGTTTATTGAGAAAATCAACATATATTCATAGATTTTTAGGTACATTATTATTCGTTATTGTTAGCAGAGAAGCACCGTCTTCTTATTTGTTGTTTTTCTGCTGAAGGTTATTCTGTTATCTCTTTGTTGCCGTTTCTTAGACAGTCCGTTGATATATCTGCACATCGTATCCGCCCATGCTAATTCTGCTGTGATTGGTTGTCGAGTTCCTCAAGGTTAGTCTTTGTTCTTGTTTTTTCTCATGACGAAGATTTGGGACGTAAACATTGACGTAAATTGCTGTTTACCAATTCTGGTTAGCAAACAGCTCTCACCACAACATCACACACCAGGCCGTCGTGTCGAACCCGAATAAGAAACGATGCGTTGGGCGTACGTGGTTGCAATGGAGGAGATCGTGCGAAGGGGAGATGAGAGACTATGAGCGGTCGTAGGGCCAGCTAAAGAGGACCGCAGAGAACAGGACAAAGTAGAGATGTGGTGTTGAAGCTCTATGTCCACCTTGGAACCCAAGGGAATAAGAACACTTTTGTTCTCTAATAATGCTCCTGGTCAAAATATGCTGTACATGTTTAAAATTGTTTCCATATGGAAAAAGTCATCAATTAGACATTTAGAAGACAAAAGGATTGAGCGAATTTCAATTAGAGTAGAGCCATGGATGAGGATCTAAATGAAAAGCAAATATTTCTTCCCTCAACCCTTTTGTCTTTTAAAATTGTGTATTTGTAGTGATTCTCATGACTATAGGCTTCTAGCAACCAGTGTGTAGTTGTGAAATACAACGATTTAATTTAATCTTGGAAATCCTTGTTTAGTAACAGTCATACAAATTAGTCTACTAAAGTCTATGAAACATAATTGTAAACTGGAGTTATAGTTTATTGTTGTATTCGAAAGGTGAGAAATGATGCACCAGTTGAACGATAAGATCAAAAATATCCCAACACATGGGATAAATATTTCTAGCACTTATATCATATTCGTTGTGATACTGACGAATAGGAATTGAAACTTCATGATCTACGCACAGCATAATGGAAAAAGCGGTATAATGCAGCTTCAAATATATATATATATATATATATATATATATATATATAATCATTCACTTCGTGGAAATCCACGTTTTCTCTATACACTAAAACTCACTTGTAATTAAAACCCGTCTTATCTGTAAGTGATAAGATGAACAAAGAGAAATTGCTGTTTCGACGAAATTAGGATTATGTATCTTGGACACTGTATTACCATATGGTTTATCATCAAACAAACATTTCCAAAATGGAATAGCATTTCGTAACTCAAGATGTTTTTTTGCAGTTGTGATTGGAAATATGGGGCCGAAATAAGAAGGATAAACTGTCACACCTCTTTGATGTACATAGTGCTTGATTGGAAACCATTCGTAAATGAAGTGGCATTTAAATCAGTAACTTATAGTCTGTTAGTGAAAATTTCGCTGAAATATTTCCCGATGCTTGAATATCATAAGTAAATATCGCTCGAGCATAATCACAAAGCATAAAAAGGAGATTGTCTGAAAGTGGATTTCTTTCAGCGAAGACTTATACAGTTTACGGTTATTTTATCAATCGAAACCTATTCACAGTAATCTTTTAATCACCCAGAAGTTCAAGAAAAATCTAGAAGACTACATGCACAAAGAGTTTTCCAAAACAAATTTTAATCAAAATGACATTCTGCTATGACATGTCCACGACTGTGCATTATCGAAGTGGTGAAAGTAAGACAGATATGATGTTAGTGTGAAAGAATAAATGCTACTTATGTTTGTCTCAGTCTTCAATGTTATTCATTAAATTTTAGCTTCATTCTATGATGACAAGGTTTGCACACATCCAACACAACCAGACGAAATGTTCTAAAGAATTTAAAATATATAAAGAAGTCAAATACTTCACGTGTAAAGTGGAAATTCCAAAATATATCAGCTATGTGAAATGCAAATTTCGAACTATTTACTGATATGCTTAGTCGGCCAATTATGTAAGCGACTGTTTGTGGTAATGATGTCACTGTATAAGAAGCAGAATAAACTAAAAAAAATATACTAGTCTGTATCTGTTTGCGATCAGCTGCATTCAATCTTTTCATTGTTGTCTCTTTCAAACGCTTATTAATAAGTCTAAGGAAAGCACAGTTTAAAGCAACCAGGATCAAACTTTGCACAAAACCTAAGTTGGAAAATAATGCTTGGTATAACTGTATAGCATGATTATTTGGATCCATAGAACACTGTGTTTTTGATTCGACAAAATAAAAATCAGTTGTAAAAAGTAACGGTAACATCATTATGAAGCTTATTAAATGTGCTACACCACATGCACACCAAGCATAGTATTTAGGCAACTTATTAAATTGTATTGGAAAGTAAATCGAGAAGAAACGATCCAATGCAGCACAGACTAACAGATTGCACAAACACGTTGATGTGAATGAACTGAAGAATCGATGTGATTGACAGGCTATCGGTGAAACATTATATACAATATAATATCTTTTACCATTTGTTATGTATGGCATACCTTTAGCTGCAAACAACCATAACCAGCCGAAGATAATATTTGTTAGCATACTCATTATAGCAGCAAACGCCATATAGATCATGTAGCGTGGCATCAGTTTAATTTTCATAAATATTGTTATTGATATGAATGTATTTATTATTAAGCCTAATCCACATGCTATTGGCAGGATATAACCACTCCATGCGCCTAGAAAACTTGAGATAATACAATGAACTCTATCATAATTACTTGATTCTGTTGAATTAGTATTTCTTGGTGGTATGCATGCCTTGAATGTATCCCAAGGTGAATTTCTATATGGCCACTTTTCATATAGTACATGTACTTCCATCTTATATATTCATGTAAGTAATACATTGCACATGCATTTATTTATATGTATAGTATATTTATTGATTTTTGAACACTCGACCACTAGATTAGTATAACTATTTGTAACGGTAGCGTTCTTTTTCTTGTTAGTATTATTAGAAGTAGTAGTAGTAGTAGCGGGTGTGGAAGTATATTTAATGACACTCATCTGTGAAGAAACATGTGTTGTGATTGACTTTGACAATAGTTATGGTGAGGCATCTGACATAAGGACTCTAATACCCTTGAAATGAAATAAATGAAGTAATTAGAGTACTTTGTTGCAGGTATTTATAGGTTTCACCCTATCTCTCTGTATGTATGCATTTGCAAAAGATATCCGTACAGACAGGTAGTACTAAGTAGTGCAACTGTTGAGTAGATAGGTAGATTGACAGAGAGAGTTAAATGCACAAGTGTTAGCAGAACAATTAGTAGAAATAAACGAATCCACGGTAACTAGATAAATTAAAAAATAAACTAAATAAAATGCATTAATCAGAATATATCGTCCATCATATTTTCGGTATGATTGTTACTATAGCAATTGAATGTATGATTTCTTGTATTACTTGTATGCTGTGAGCTTACTAACCTTATTCACGGCAGTGCCTAAAATCAGAACAGCCATTTATATATCAACAAAATAGAAACACATTTTTATTGGCAGTGGTGTCTAACGGCATTTGGTATATGGCTAGGCTAGTAAAATACATTGTATTCAAACCCTGCTTCAGTTATGATCCTACCTATTTGAACGGTCCAGAAATACGAAGGTTATCTGGAGTGATACTGCCAAAGTAAATTCTCATGTTAAAAGTTTTTGGTACAGACACTATTCTATTGTGTTAACAGATACAGATTCATTCAGCACTGTTCCCATAACTCTCATGATACTTTAGTGCTATTACTTTATGAATAATACCTTATTTTTATTAATGTTATAAATTATTTTTATGACTACTGTAATTGGAAGCTAGTAAAAAGCCCCCTTGTACTTCATTGTGCTTGCATATGAAGTCTACTTAGTTCTTCCAGATCCCTAATCTATATGGATCAGGTAATTGTGAATTGGTAGAGGGCAAATGTAATCATCCTGCAATGGGTGAGAATCTCCACCCACCCATTCTCTTCAGTACTGATGAGTGTGTTCAACTGGGAACAGAAAATCATTACCTCACATTTTGAACTCAACACAGTGAGTATACTGTTGGGTAGTGAGATCACACATTGGGTTATTAGTCTTTGGCTATCACTGTGGGCCTGATGGATGCAAAGACACTGTTCAATAGGTATTTAGTGCTTACAGTGGTGTCGTTTAGTTACTTATATTCTATGGAATATTTTAAGTTACAGACGATAAGCTGGGAGGAAGGATATTCTTTCGATGGTTTCCTTTCTTCTGAATTCTACCCACTTTATTCCCTAAACTTAATTTGTTCAGTTTAATTTTTCGTAAGACGATAAGGGCGGAATTAATAATAATAATAATATACTTTATTCCAAAAACAGTACTTGTGATACAAAATGGAATTTTCAGCATTAATCACAATATTTTATCTAATTTCCTCAAATTATAAATAAAATTAATCACACAGAAAATTTTCCGCATTTATAATAGAGGTTATGTCAAAAACATGCAGCATATAAATTTGAAATAATAATAATGATAACAGCTAAGGTAACAATAATAATACAAGTGAAAATTGTCGTGTGATCGTTTCACACAGTATTGTCGATGAGGCATAGAAATCCTAGCATGTTTAAAAATATTGAATATAATGTTCTCTTTACATGATATGATGAGGGGAAAAAACAAAGATTACAACAGTCATAGAGATAAGTTAGTGTTTGCAATTATGAAATTAAAACAAAGAAGCAACAGGACCATAAGCATAATAGAAATAATAAAAGTAAAACTTAAAGGTATATAAGGATGGATGGAGGAAATTGTTTATTTACTAGATGAAAAAAGGTTAGTTAATTCTTGCCTGAAACTATTTTCATCACATAAAATACGTGACAAGTGTGATATCATAGAAATCTTTATACTTAGACGTGCGAGCATACAGTTTTCTGAATTTACTTCTCGTTCTACCTGAGGAGATGCAAGGTGAAAGCTGAGGGTAAAGTGGATGCTCCAAGTCAGACAAGATCCCTTTAGCAGATTTATTGCACGAAGTCAAGTGCCTATGATAACGACGTTAACTATGTGGTCCACTGGGACACCCTACTGACAGTCTTCAGCATTCTACGAATTGTGACATAGTCCTTTTTAAGCAAACCAGGAAAGAATAAGGGTGAACAATAAAGAAGAACAGGTAGGATGCAAGAGTTTATAAACTGTAAGAGGTGGGGTTGAGTTATGCCTGAGTGCCTTAACTTCTTAATGTAAAATGTCAGGCGGAATATTTTACGGGAGATCGCTGAGACATGGGAAGACCAGGAGAGATCAGAAGAGAGAATAACTCCAAGATGTTTAATTTCTGATTTAATTCCTATATCATTGTCGTCAATCTTACAACTGTCATGAGAATCGACGGCTTCTTTTAACTGTCGTTTACATCTTAAGTTGAAATTAACAGTTTGATATTTAGAAGGATTCAGTTTAAGACCGTTAGACTCAGCCATTTACTGACTCCCGATAGAAAGCTATCTATTTTGGTACAATCTAGGTGGGAGTTAACAGCCATTGAAACTGTTAAATCATCAGCGTACTTCACAAAGTTTATTTCATCAGAGTGAGGCAAGTCATGTAAGAAGAAAGAAAAAAGAAAAGGAGAAAGGACAGCGCCTTGAGGGACACCAGCTTCAGTAGGCGATGAAGTGGAAGACTTCCCTTTATACACGGTGTACTGCTTTCTTTCTGAGAAATAAAAATGTAACCAGTTAACAGCCCAACATTCTGTTTGACTTGCAGCAAGTTTATTTAATAAGATGTCCCTAGGGATGGAGTCAAAAGCAGATGTATAGTCTAGGAAGGCACAACGAACAAATTTAGCCCCCTTGTCTAGACTGGAAGCAATGTTATGATATAAGACGGCAGCTGCATCTAAAGTGCTTCTACCGTGTTTATAGGCGAATTGTTTGGAATCGTTAAAGGCTTTAAGTGAAGGTTGAAGATTAATTAAAAGTAACTTTTCCATAGTTTTTAGAAAAGGAGAGGTAATAGCAATAGGTCTAAATTTGACACATGTTCCAGTAGATGATTTAGGTATAGGTACAACTTTAATATCCTTCCAAACGGCAGGCACAATATCACAGTGAGAGGGTGACACAGAATATCAGAACCTTAAAAAAAATAATAATACTAGGTACATAATCTGAACCTAAGCTCTGGGAAGGGTTCAGAGACTGGAGGCACTTTTGAATATCATTTGTGTTAAAACCTGGAAAGGGGCTATTATTGACACTAGTGATGCTGTGAAGCATGGTATTTGAGGGAGAGTAAATAAAAGATTTATTAAGAGTACATACATCAAAAGAATACGGAATATTGTTTATCTGCTTACCACCAGTGATTTCTTTAAATAGTTTCCACATATTAGAAGCATTTTTGCAGGATATGAATTTCTGGTTATACATTACATTCAGTCTCTGCATATTAATTGATAGCATACTTGATGCAATGATTCATTCTCTAATATTCTTACTAATGATAGCAGTCAAGTCGGCTCCGTAAAAGCAAAATCCCGACTCCAAATCGATTATTATTAAATTATTATTGTTCCCTTGGGTTCCTGGTGGAACATAGGGCTTCAGCTGCACGTCTCCACTTGCTTCTGTCTTCTGCTGTACTTTTCATCTGCATCCATGTTAATCCATACTGTTTCAGCTTCTCTTCACACGATCTCCTCCATGTCACCCTTGGACGTCCCACTCGCCGCTACCTTTCGGATTCCACTCGATAGTGTATTTCTATCCACAAAGCAGTAAGATTTGAAAAATTGTCAGAGAAAGAAAGACTGAGATTTCCTTATACTGTCTTCTTGAGGTATAACGACACACTAGATAATTATTTAAATGCATACATTTGTTCATTCGTCCTCATATCTGAATTTTGTTTTTTACAGTCATGAGATGATTATTCAGGAAATTAGCTAGTTGGAAACTGTTTAGTGTAAATGTTCTGTCAGTCAGGTGAACAAATACCCAATCAACCCGATTTTCATAATCCCAAAAACATACCAGTGCATCACGTTTGTGTAAACGTGGAAGTTTCTCCTATCGTCCAATGGTTTACTACATTGTGGGCTACTTACGAATATATACAAACAGTATATCGAGTGACATCTTCGGATATTTTGTGTGTGAATGAAGAAAAGACGTGAGAAAAAGGTGACAACAGTGAAAATAATTCAGTAAGAAATAGAGAAGGAAGGCATTCTAATCATTTACAGACAGTCATTTTTTCAAGGTAGATTCTATTTTAGAACAACACATTTAAACGAACAATACTGTTTTCAATTAGATCTCATCAGGCTTAACTCTAATATATACAACTTTACAAATAAAAATTCAAATATAAACCAATCATGGTATTTTGTCTATAGGATAATAAGATGGTAAATATACATTGTGCAATTAGTCATAATAGTAGTAATGGTAACAATAATAATGGTTTTATCAATTATAAGGATAAGTGAGGCAATCTGTGATAACACGAATAACGAAAAACAGCATGATTAAACGAACAAATTTTCAGGTAGAAGTAGTCGATAAAGGCTAAGAAAAACAAATGAACCGATTGAGTAATGCTTGATTGTAAGGAAAGTAAATGAAACACGTTTTTAATGAAGATGTGATAAAACTAGGGAACGATACGAGAGGGCTTGAAGATAATAGTAAGGGGTGGTGGAGAAGTCATCAGTTTGTTATGTTTTAATAGGCTAAGGGAGGGATAATGGCTATACGAACTTCTTTTGAATGCATAGTTTAGGTTGAATAATTCGAATACTTATCGCTTCAGCTGTGTGCAGTAGACGAATACGAAGACTATTGGAAAGATTCGGTGGGATACGATGAATTACTT